AGATGCGGATCCCAAAGCTTGCAAAATTCTAATTGACTCGGGATCTCAAAATATCCCAACTCCTTTTCATGTAGGAAGGCAAAGGAGCATCGAACTTGAGGCTAGGCAATCGTGAGAGGTCATTGCCTGAAGATATTTGCACAGCTTGCAAAGCTTTAGATACATTGGGTAAAACCATTTGTTTGCAATGAAGATGTAGGCGAGGATGCTTTTCAGAGATGCTACCACTATCCAAATCAAGGGCGAATGGGAGCATTTTCTCAATTACGGACTTCTCATTTGATTTATCTTCAAGATCAGACCATGGTAGCTGTTTCCAATTCCTGTGAGCTTGCCATGCATATTTGTAGTCTCCAACTATTGGCGTCCTCAATACCTCAGCACAGTGTACACGGAGCTGTGGTGGTGACCAGAAATGGTTGAATGAAATTAGGGAGGTGTGGAAAGTGAGCCAGGATTAAGAAGACAAAGGTACAGCCACACATTAAAGATTTAAGATATGAGTTGGTTCTGCTTCATACCTGATGCTTTCTACCAGTGAGAGGGGACAGCTCCAACCATGTGAAGCCTGCATTAAGCCACAGATTAAGACTATGAACTAAAAGTTACACAAACAACTTGTGAATTAGCACCCAGAATATATAAATGTTTTATTTCAATTAACCGAAGGGAAAATGGAGATAAACATAGACGCAAGACATAAAAGACTGAAAAAAACCTGGACAGGCACAACAAACATTAAGCGGGATTTTCTTTGGCTTACAAGATTACACTCTCATTAAATGCTTTAAAGAGAGAGATAACAAGTTCAGTAAATTTCCAGCAAACAAAGGTTATTCTCTCTTTCTAGGTGTAAATTCTAAGAATCGACCCCACATCTTTCTACAACTTCCATCAAACAAACCGCATCAAACTAGCTGTAAAACAATCACTACTGATCCCACAGCAACCTGCCACACATACCTAATCGACCCTAAAACAATTATACATCAATGTTTCAGCCGGAAATCCCCTAAAACATCATTCACGTACTGTTCACTGCCCCCTAAAGTTCAGCATCAGATCAGCCCCTAAAGCTGTCCTGTATTAATTACACACTCATTAAATGCATTGCAATAGAGATGAATGCCTCTTAGACAAATTCAGTCAAAGAGATTTTCCCAGAGATGATGTTTAACTATGTATATGCACAGACAACAAGATATTCAAGAGTGATTGCTATGTACTATGATCAATTTGGATATCCATGAAATATCTAAACCAAGTTAAATGTATAAATGATTGGTAGCTTATATAGCTGAATGTAAGATATAATGGGTCTGTTTAATTCTTTTCACCTGCAAATTCATTAGAAAAGAGAAACATATGTTTGTGTCTATGCATATCTCATGTTCCTAACATATTACATCTTCAAGCTGTATTGATACAAAACCAGAAACATATTATTGCAACAAATAACATATAATGGATGTGACAGAGAAGTTACGTGCTAACCATGAGATGATTCAACCACTCTGTATTGCGTAACTGCATGCTGAGAAGACGAGTTTTGTGCATTCTCAACCACTGTTATTCGATCAGATTTTCCATGGTCCACTACCACCTAGGAGCAATCAGAGCATGAAGATTTCAATATGATACAGAAAGAAAAATAGACTTCTAATTGATGGTGTTAAGAATTAAACTTAATCTACCTTTCCCAATGGTGCTGAAATCAATCCCTTTGGACATCTTGGAGAACCAATGACAAGTGCCCAGTATTTTCTTTGCAGGATTCTTCTTTTGTTACCCACGCCCTTAAAAGAGAAGACAAATATTGTTAGCCTGAAACACTGATGGACCTGACAATTTTCCACTTCAAAAGGGCATTTATGGATTAAGATAAAAAGGAAAGCAGAGACAGGAAAAGTCATACAGTAGAAAATTACTCACATCATTTGATGCTGCAAAAGTTTTCTCCCGGAAGATGGAGTGCAAAACTGCCGCACTTGTTTGTGTCCTTCCCATCACCAAGATACCACTGCAATCTCTGTCAAGTCTATGAACCTGATAAACACACATTGTTTTCATGGAACTATTTGTTGTTGGGCAACATACGAACAAAACATTGCTCAGGGAAGAGCATCTTGGCTTAGATAACTGCTACACAGAAATGGAGACTAACTTTTGCACGCTGAACAAAAAACTCCACTTAACTACATTTTTTTACTCCATAATGCTTTCTAGGAAATAAGAGTTGCCTCAGATCAGTTCCATGAAATTTTCAATAAAATACATGATTTTATGGTGGCCATGAGGGTTATTTGTAATAAGTAGAGTGTACCTAAACAAGAAGTTGTTCTGGAATCATAATCTGAAGCAACAGAAATTAAACAACACGAATTCACAACAAACTCACCAGCCGAGGGGGTTCTGAGTAGTCATAACTTAAACAACTAGCTGACAATTCATCTAAACTTCTTTTGATGCCAATGCCACCCTGTCCAAGGTAACTTAAGTCAAACAAAGTTAAACTTTTAACACCACTGATCCAACTCGACAAAAGAAGTTGAGCAGACATTTTGTAGTTCACCTGAACAGGCATTCCGGGAGGCTTATTGACAACAATAATCGCAGCATCCTAACAACAAAAAGGCATGTTGGGTCCAGCTTTGGGAACAAGAAAGCATAAATTTTCAACAAACCAACATAGTTTAAGTCAATAACCTTATACAACTCAAGGCCACGAATAAAATTCACTTCGTCTTCACTGCAATGACAGTCTGGTTCCTCAGCAGGCAGCACTTTAACACTAATAGGAAGAAAAATTCTATCTCCTACATCCATCGAATCCTTAGCTGCCACCTTTTAGCAATTTCAAATTTCAGAGAAAACAATGATAACCAAACAATATCAAAACAAACAATTCCTTTTATGCATTCCTAAAATGATACTGTAACTAAACAGTTCTAATCATGAGAAAGGCCGCTTTAAAAAATTTAATCAAATCCAGCAGTGTAATTTCTTACCCTTTTAACCCGATGTTCCTGTCCTTGATCACCAAGATTACAGCTTTCCATGACAGAGGATTCTCTTCGTACCTGTAACCAAACACAGTATGGCAAATCAGTCATCCTCCACTTAGCCTTTGATTTAAACTGTTTCAAATTCCACCTCAGTTTCAGTAACAAAGACATTTGGGAAAAAATTCCAAAAATTCCGACATTTCAGCTAGTATTGAACACTGCTAATTGACTGTAACATTCATAAACAAGTAAACACTGGAACTTTTAAGTACAAAGCCAGTGTTTTTTAAGGCCAAATCAAGAGAGAGAAAAACACATATACATGAGAGGCTTAGGAAAGAAAACCTCAAACCTGTCTTAAACGAAACAGCTTTTGTACAAGGTTTCTAGGGAGTTCAGGGCAACAATGAAGGACCCACTTAAGCGCTGTCGTTTCAGAAGCGGCTTTTGCGGGGACTTCTGCAGATAGAGATTTTCCCAAAACGCTGCCATTGATAGTTAAAGTGTAAGGAGGTAAAGTGAACCATTTGCCTCTCTTCTCATTCTTATTATGATTTTGGTTTTTGGTTAACAGCTTGGTGTTTGTGGTGTACTGAGATTGGAGTACGTGGAGGGTTGAGAAGCACGGTTTGGCTGCACTAAGATGGGAGAATGACGTACGTTGTTGGAGGAGGAGGATACGGCGGAGGAGAGTTGTGCTCCCCATCATCTTGCGACTTTTTGGATTTTTGGTGGTTTGATGGTCGGGAAGGAGAAGGGTTTTGATCTATTAATGGGCTTGGGCTGGTGCTGATTATTTTTGAAGCCTCAAGAAAAAATGGGCTCTCTAGCTTACTGGTCCAAGCCTTGTAAGCACTCAAAATATCCATTGGAGCTATATAATGATTACGTGTTGACCATAAGAGCCCATTTTTCTCGCGGCAGGAAGATAGGATTGTGTTACGATTAATAATTTTATTTTTTCAAGAAGAGCATCTTGCTTTTTTATGATCTGATAGTAAATATGTTATTCACATCTAAATTTGCACATTTATATTTTTCTTTCTGAAAAACTTCTTGAATTTGAACTACAAGAGATGATATGAAAACTAAATTTGAACACCTTTTTAAAGTTTCTAATTCCTTGTTTTTAATTTAAAAATCCTTTCTCCAAGTCAATTAAACTTTATACGCACACAGGAAGTGCATCAAACATTTTAGTTATTATTCAAATGTCTAAATTTCTTTGACCATTCAATTAATGAGCGAGATAATTTTTAAAATAAAATCCCTTACGATGAAAAGGTATTATATGAATTTAGATCAAACAATTGTCAAAAATTATAAATCAAGTCAGGGAATAAGGGTTCAATGAAATCAAATTTCAAGTTTCTTTATCTGTCAAGAAACTCTTTATACTTTGATAGATCGATGGTCTTCTTTCTCTCAACTCACGAGTGTTACCATTGAACTTTTATTCTGAGCCTATTGAATCATCAAAGGGACATCTTGAACACCATCCACTTGCATGTCCGCTCTTGCTTGTTGTCATTTTCTGATGCTGTAATGTAAACTGCTAATACTAATACGTAATTGTATCAACCCTAAAAAATTGACCGAATAGTTAAAGAAGAATATAAAAGAAAATAAATATATGTAAACAATATAGTCTTGTAGATACATTATTTCCCTTAAAAAGAACTTGATAGCATATCATAATATTGTTCTATTTATGTAACATTATTTGAACCGATAAAGAAAATGATATAGCGCTCTGGTTATAGCTGTTCCCTTCCGTCGTGAAGTAAGAAAAAAGGCAGCATCCAATTTTACAAAGATCAGAGTTTTTAACTATGTAATAAGATTGATTATACATCCAACCAAAAGCAAACAAAATTGAAATAACAATAATAATGGCAATCAAGATCCGCAATGTTGCTAGTAGTGCGTGCCTATAGAGTATTTGTGTCCTCCAGGGCTCGGACCAGAGTATTTCATCGGAAGAAGTTGAGCATATTATGATCTGTGGCCTGGACCGCTTGGGCTTGGCCCTGATTGCTTAATGCCTCGAAGGGCTAATCTAGCAAAGGAATACCCCATATTCTTGAACGAACTGGCCGTCTTCAAGTTATTCAAATGCCGAGCTTCGGATTGGAAAAGAACAATACTCAAGCAGAGGAGTAGATGAGCAACAAAACATAGAGATCTTAAATCTCTTGCCATTTTTAAGTGATACAAAAAACCTAAAGATTCAAATGTTAATGGTGCTTATAAAAGTGAGAGTGCATGGAAACTTGGAGTCTGTTATATATAAAAAACTTAAAATAGGAGTGCTTTTATAGCAGTGAAGTTAAGTTAGGTACTCCTTGCTTTTTCAAAATAAGATAAAATTTTATAATATCTGAAGTATATATATATATATATATATATATATATTATTTTTTGAGTATTATAAAATTTTTTTATTGCTTTTTAAATATTATAAAATTTTTGGTGATGTGAATTTTCTCTGGTTCTTTCAATTGCTACCAAAAAAAATTAAGAATTTTAATCCAAGAGGGTCGGGAATTTAGGAGGACACAAGGACGAATATGGTTGGTCCAATTTAAAAGGTGTCTTATGACTTCAGAATTTGTCAATTTTCAACAAAAGGCAAAGGCAATGTCAATTTTCTTGGCTGGCCGACGCTGCTCATAATTTAAAAATTTTCGCAATTTCAGCCTCCCGCTGGGAGACCAAACCTTGCCGACTAGTTCTCATCATTTTTTGGCACATGAATTCTCCAATTCGTCTGTATTTTTTAATAATCTTTCCCAACTAAGATCATTTTCATAATTAGCTGTATTGATATTTAATTTCACACAGAGCACTACTTACTTCCATTAAGTTTTTAGATTCTACAAACGCATTTTTTAAACTCCTTGGTCTAATGGTCTCATTGAAAACAGCAATTTTCGTATTTTTTTAACAAAGTATCTAGGCAAATTCTTAATCCCGAGACACCAAGATTCGTGTAACAAAATGCCACCGTTTCCATTATTAATTTAAAAGAAGCTCCTTTGTTTCATACACCCATTCTAATATGGAGCGGCACCATGTTTAAAGCCTATTGGGATAATCAAAATCTTTTTGACTACTCCACGCAAAAATACTCTTGTTTTAAGCTGCATGTGAGTTGTGACCTCCATCGGTGACATTTTCTTTACCATTACGAAAAACGCAACTTTATCATTGCTTGGTTTTGCTATCAAATTCCACTAATTAGACATTAGAAACTAATTATTCGTCTGTTTCTCGTGCTAGGGGACCCAATTTTAGGATTCTATATCTTACAATATTTGGCCTTAAGGAGATTACATGATAAAAACAAGAAATGGATGTGGTAGTTTTTCATTCTCAATGTAGTATTTAATCCGAAGGGGACAAAAGAATTCAAAGATATTTATTGCTTGATATCTTGATTCCTGATGTGAGAAATATATGATGGACCCTCACCCAATTCCTTGAAATTCGAATCCAAGTTAGGTCACGAAGCACACCATTGTTAAATCATGCAAAACCCTAGTGAACTCAAAGTTTAATGGAATAGACTCGTAGGTAGGAAATTGACAAGGCAACGTTAGTATATACACAGCAGCCTAGTAGTTAAAGTCGCAAGTTTTAGTTTGAAGGATTTAAAGATCAGAAGAGGACTACTTTCTGAAGAAAAATAAATCAAAACCCTGCTAACCTCTGTTGGTCTTTCATGATCCGTTGCTTTCACTCTCCCTATATCTAGGGCTATTCTATTCATGATCTATAGCTGAAACAGTCATTTTTCCACTCTTTTTGCAGGGTGTTACATCTCTTTCTTATGGAAGAAAAAGAGAACTTTTTTATTTGTTTTTTCGATGTATACTTGGATATAGTAATTCTTTACTGTTTTGGTCAACTGCCACGGTTTACAACAACCCGGTGCCGTGGGATATTTCTAGAATTAAAAATAAGAACATCCGTTCATTCTTGAAACCATAATTTGTATTTTGTGTAGTTCTTAAACTGCATGCCCACTAAAAGAAGAAGAAGAAGAAAAAAAAACCCTGCCTGCCCACTAATTCTTACAGGTGACTTGGAACTTTAATTTAGAAAGGGTATTAATTCCAAATGTTCCGTCGCAGTATTATTCTTAGGACACGAATAAGACTGATCTATTTTTTGAGCACATGACTTGTTTGTCCTTCTAAGTATCGTGTGATTCTCAATTGAATCCCCAAATTAAAAAAGTTAAAACTACTCAATTAATTATGCCATTAGAATTTATGAAATAGTAGTACTACGTGATACCAGTGGTGTTAAAAAAAAATCATTATAATTTTATAAGGATAATGTTTTTTTAAAAAGATATAAAAAAGGAAAAAAAATTGAATATTTTATATTTATTTCAATGAGTATTATATCATTTAATTTTTTCACTTTATAAATTTATTCATAAAAACTTTTTATTTTTTAAAATAATGCCTATCGCTATAGTGTTATCAAGCATTTTTTTTATGAAAAAAAGAAAAAATGATAATGTTTTAAGACAAATGGATCATAGTTATTGGGAAATGTCCAATAGATAGAGTTTGGAATGATTTTAGCTTTGGGACCCAATTGATAGATCCTTTTTCCTTTTTCACCACAAACAATTATTAAGATTTATCTCCTTAATGCGTATTTATAGAGAACAATAAATTCGGAGGTACCCCTGCTGGAAATAATTCAGTCCCAAGGCCATCAACATCTCTCCCCTTTTTCTGTCTCCAAAAAAGCTGAAGTCCAAACTTTCTGCTCATGGTATGTAACGGTCATGACAGGCGATCAAATGTTAATTTGTTCATAACCACACAAGCAATGAGCAAGTGGATAGGAGTTTTGAATTTTCAACAAAAATTTCAAATCTCAAAGTTAAATAAAATTTATATTTGTTTTTTTAGTTTTAAGAAAGTAAAAGAACTTGAAACTCTCAATTTTAAGGCTCATCCTTACCGATCAAAAGTGATTAAAAAATAATCAATTTCTGGATTAGTAAATAAAAAACTTGCATTATTAAAAAAGCACGAATGATGAATTATAACGTCATAAAATAAGCAATGTCATGATAGGTTTAGACTATTTTTTATTATTATTAATTATTTCAAAGTGAAAGAGAATATTCGAATTAGTTTGCGTGATAATCGAAATTATTATTTTTTAAAAAATAATTTTAAAAATTGCATCTTTTATTATCGTTTGTTGCATTCAAAAGAATTTAACAACTCTTCTTAAATGTTGTTCTCAAAATTTAAATAAATTAAGAAAAATACATATTTCTTTAAGGACCAGGACATTTAGAATATATTTAACTATCTTTTCATATGTATGCCTTTCTCATAAAAAAAGGTCCACCTTCTAAGTCGTATACTTAGATTCTATATGACGTGGTTGTTTGGAACATTTCATTTTCGGCTTAGAAATTAGTAACTTTCCTCGGAAAAGTATGCGGTTATTTCGTCTTAGTTGACTTTTTTTCTTCTGAATCTCCATCAATATTGTTTCACCGAATATTAAATTATAATTATCGGCAATAACTTAACATGACAAATTACTACTACAAATATATCTTAATGCTTGATTTTTCTAATTAGGAATTCAACCCTCCATTTATCTTTTTTTGGTCCTCCCATTTGACAATTAGTAATGAACAAGCGTTTATGGTGCTAGCTAACTTAATTATATGGTAAACTAGTTGTTTGTTGTCTTAAGCAATCTGATTAAGTCTCGCTAGACTAAAACTTGAATGAGAAATACAAAACTCGATAGGTCCCCACCAAATCAACCAAGAAAGCAAAGTAATTAGAAAATTTTCTTCCCCATCAGCTATAATGTCTAATTAAAATATCAAGTAACAACAGTCTTGCTAGCCTAAAGTCTTGACTAAACACAAAAAATCGGGTAAACTTAGAGTGAGTTTTCAAAAGAAGATAGCTGGCTAATGTTTTCATGCTTTGATGGTCACGAGCTAGCCCCTAATAGTCGGTAGAAAAAGGGAAATAAAACAAAAGAATTTAGCTTGTACTACAAGTTTTGATCTCTAATAATCGTGTCGTTATAGAAGGTAAACCGCTATACGAACTTTTAGATTCATGTTGGTCCACCACGTTACTCGTATGATCCTAGTTTATCCATGCCATTACTTGTACTTTTCACGTTGCTTAATTGTATGAATCATTATCCTAGTGGTTGCCAGATTTTTACTGTTGCAAACTCCTGATGAGATCAGAGAATTCAATCCAAAAAGTTCAGGCTAGGTTCAAAAAGAATTGGCCGTCACCCTGTCATTTTCTTTAACCAAAACTTAATTCACATCTTTCGAGTTCATCAGTTCCATATTTTGATACTCGTTTATGTTCCCACTTGTCCATTTTTAGAAATCGAACTCTTTGGTTTAAGGATTTGCCAAGCTAATTAGAAATTTCGCTTTCCGAAGATTCTGCCAAGATGGTAATTCTACCCTATACCATGAACCAATTAAAGGTGGCCTGGCGGCACTTCAATAATTCTCACATGCCTTTGAATAGCGATCCACAACCTTTTTAGTCAAACCAGCCCCCAAACTTGCTTAAAACTTCAGACTTCTACAACTTTTCAAGCCCTATAAATACAACTTCAACATATAACCTGCCATTCATTGTCCTAACAAACAACACATAGTCAGAGAAACATATTTCGAAGGCATAGGATTAAACCACAAGATCTAAAAACATATATGTCTATCATCGGCAGCGAACTAAAACCTGTTACTCTCTTTTCTCTACTTTTTCTTGGTTCTCTCTTGTTGAGCACCATGGTTTGCGGCACAGCAGCTCGGCCTTGGAGTGGTTCAAGGCTGAATAAGGATGTTAACGTTGGAGAGACTGAAGGTCTTATTGGAGGATTTTCTATCCAATCAGTGAAGAAATCAGGGCCGAGCCCAGGAATAGGGCATAAATACCATAACTTCCAAACTCAAGGCGAGGCTACGAAGTCTGGCCCCAGTCCAGGTGATGGGCATAAGCAAGTTATTAATGGTAACAAAACGTAACAACATTGTACGTACAAGGCCGAAGGGATGGAGTCAGGCAGGGGAGAAAATCATATTCTTTCTTCTTCGCTTTTTTGGCACAATCGTTTTCACCTTTTGTTTTTGTAATTTTTAACATGTAACTATACTTGTATGGTAATTTAACCAAGTAATTTTGATTTTAATTAGAGGAGCTCATATAATTTGCAGTGAAGTGAATTGTTTGTGTATATCTATATGTGTGTATGTGTGTCTGCTGTAGGGGCGCAAATGTAACGAAATTTGAGAATACAAACCAAATTTTGTCCAAACAATTCTTCTTTTTGTCTCTGTTTTTCTCTCAATTGGTACATTTTCCAACAATTTATTTGGCAGCGTTCGGCTATCTATATATATATTTTCCAACAATTTATTGGCAGCGTTCGGCTATATATATATATATATATATATATCTTATTCGGAATAAAATATTCGGCTGCAGAGAGCGACACGCATTGTTAATTCACCCTTATGACAGATTTTGATGCTATAAATTACGATTGGCGCCATCTCCATCGTGTGAAATGGAATTAAATAATCACTAAACTCTCTCTCTCTTTCTCGTACGGCTTTTTTCATGACAAAAAAATACAGGCGAAGGCGCACGAATATATGTGGTGCTGTTTATGAACTGTTATAACGAAAATTAATCAGACTAAATATAATCATATCATCTTGATGTAAGAGATCATTACCTAACTGTGAAAACATTCCAAGCCCAGTAACCCATCCTTAAAAACTCAGCCATTGTAGCAGTGCTACTATTATACATGCAAGCCGTGATGATCGATCGTTTTGGTGGCGTGGAAGCCTAAATTTACTGGAATAAATATAGATAATAGACTCGGCCATTATATGCCACTGCTGTTGCTATGCAAGTTGTCATCATTCTGCAGGTGGCGTGGAAGCCTAAATTATCTAGTAGAATAAATATAATAATTAATAGCAAGGTTCAGCAGCAAAATGCTCAAACTTGAGTTTTTTTTTTTTTTTTCTTTTTGGGCTTAGGTAAAGGTCCGAAAAGTCTTTTTTATTACATAATTATAACTAAAAATTACATTTATTAGAACTCAGAATCTTGCTTCACAGAGGAAACCTAAATTTGCCTTTTGTCCCTTGATTGAGTGTTGAAATCACATTGTTAAGCAGTTAATTAAAATGTTGATGAGACTTGCAGTCAGTCAAGGAAACTATAATTGTGGTTGGGCCCAGTAACTATGATACTCTTATCTTATGGGTGGTTTTTCCTTAATGGGCTGAATGTTATTTTCTTCTGGAATAAAAGGGCTATACTCTAGCCCATGTATGGAGGGACCTAACACGGAAATTGGCCTGCCGTATACCAACTGATCATAACCCTTTTTTAAAAAAGTGGACAGGATTTCAAAATAAGACACGACCATTCAGAGATTCAGAATCTTTTATTAAGGAAAATAGATGGACCCAAATGTGGTGACGCGCTTTGTTGGATGTTTTATTAGATATGTTCCTCATGTCGATAAACTCATAAACACCTCCTTCATCATGAACAATTTGATTTTTCTTTTCTAAAAGTGATTACCACTTTTGTTTTTATTTTTTTGAGATTTAAAATACGTTTGACAATTTGATTTGAGTTTCCTCACCTTCCTAATTTGGGTGTTGAAGTAATAAAAATCTGATTACATTCATGTATTATCATGCGTTATTGTACTGCGTATATACATTGTTGAGTTGTCATATCTATTTTTTCCATAGTTAAGAAGCCAATCAATCTCTTGTGCTAAAACCTTATCTCTCTCTCTCTCTCTCTCTCTCTCTCTCTCTCATTTAATGTGAATTGTGATGGCATTAATGTTGGGGAACAAAGAAGAAGAAGAAATTCATGTTTTAATGGTGGCATTCTCATCTCAAGGTCACATAAACCCCATGCTTAGACTAGGAAAACGCTTAGTCAATAAAGGCCTCCATGTCACACTTGCCACCACCGAATTTGCTCGTCACCACATACTCAAATCTTCCATCATCAACCCTACCTCTTCGACCATCTCGATCTCCGGAGTCTAAATTCGCTTCTTCTCTAATGGCTTAAGCCTAGACTACGACCGCAAGGCCAATTTAGACCACTACATGGAGTGTTTAGCCAACTATGGAACCATCAATCTCTCAAACCTTATAAAACGAGCATTTTCCCAATAATGGTCTCAAAAGTCTCTCTTGCATCATCAATAATCCATTTGTTAATTGGGTATTTAATGTTGCCATCAACCATGGAATCCCTTGTGCCATGTTTTAGATACAACCATGTTCACCTTATGCCATTTATTATTGCTTTTATAATAAGCTAAACTCATTTCCTACTTCAACGGACCACGAAATGAGTGTTGAGTTGCGAGGCTTGCCATTATTAAAGATAGAAGATTTACCTTCTTTTGTCCTTCCTTTAAATCCATTTGATAGCTTTCCTAGATTGTTTTGTGATATGTTCCAAAACATGAAGAAGTATCGATGGGTTATAGGGAACTCATTCTCTGAGCTTAAGAAAGATGTTGTTGAGTCTATGGTTGATCTCTCGTCCTATTAGTCCTATTGGTCCTCTAGTTCCTCCATCACTTCTCGACGAAGATGAAGATCAAGATAGGGGTCTCTAAATGTGAAAAGTAGAAGATACTTGCATTGAATGGCTAAACAATCAAGCGACTTCTTCGGTTATATATGTATCTTTTGGAAGCATTGTTGTGTTATCAAGCAAAACAAATGAAGTGTATAACAACAACCCTAATTAACAATAACCGTCCATTTATTTGGGTGGTTAAGGAACCGGACTTGCCAAAACCTAACGGTGTAAGACAACTACCATTCGGATTCCCGGAGAAGACCAAAGACCAAAGGCTAGCTATATCATGGTGTCCACAAACCAAAGTTTTAACCCACCCAACTATTTTCTGTTTTATTACTCATTGTGGATGGAATTCTATGTTAGAAACAATTGCTACGGACGTGCCGATAATAGCATACCCTCGATGGACCGATCGACCAATAAATGCAAAACTTATTATTGATGTTTTTTGCATTAGTTTAAGGCTTAGAGCAAATCAAGATGAAATTGTTAGTAATGAGGAAGTTAAAAAATGTATTAGAGAGATCATGGACATACCAAAGTCCGAGGAGGTTAAATCCAATGCAAAGGAATTGAAGATCGAGGCAACGGATGCGATTGCTTAGTGACAACTCATCGGACAAGAATATTTAATTATTTATAGATGAAATTATTGAGAGTTATGGTTTAATTAAGGCATGTAATGTATATGTATGGTTTTCGTAAAAGGATTGTACAATCATAAATCCCGCCAATTGATAGCGTTATATCCTTTGTTTCTTCATCAAAATTGGTAGATGTATTATGATAGAAGTAATGTTAAATATTAACAAAATATAAAGAAAAAAATCAATAATAAATATCTACTATTGAATCATAATCTTAAAAATGGTTCGATCGAACTAACGTTTATGTGTATTTTTTTATTTTTGTATCATATTTAATTTCTTAATATTTATCTTTACTCTTATGGTAGCAATGCGAGCTAATTTTGATTGCACTTGACTATGACATTTGTGATTTTCCAAAAATTAAATGCTACACGGAGTTAATGATTAATGTATGTAGAATAACCTATAATTGTTGTTAGCACTCAAATTTTTCTCAAAAAATAATAAATACAAAAATACAAAACAAAAAAGAAAAAAGCAAAGGGACAAAAAAAATACTATTGAAGGATGCAATTGAAAAACAAAAGAGAAAAAGACCAAAATAAATCAAGCTTGCGAGATGAGAGACCAAGCTAAACTTTTTCCTAAAAAACTCTAAAAACTTAGTATAAATACTCATATTTCTTCCTCCCCTCGAACCATATTCTCTCTCTCAAACTAGATTCCGACCATTTTCTTAAAAAAAAAAAAAAAAAAAGAAGCAAATTCGGCCGACCCTCCCTCTTCCAAGCAAATTTTGATTAGCCATCCTCTCCACCATTAATAGCCACCGCCAACCACTATAATGCCCTATAGCTGACCTCTAACCATTCCTCTATTCGTGGCAATCTCATCCAACAACCTCCAATTGCCTAATCTTTTTTCCAAGCATCGTCGATAGTTGTTTTAGCTACTCTAGTCGTTGTCCGACCTCAAATCCATGCTAGCGACGATCGCGTCAATCACCACCCGACCCTTCATCATCATTCCAAGTAGTCGTAGCGGACCTTACCCGATTCAACTCCTCCATTCATAATTCCAATCGCTATAACCCTATAGCCATCCGATCCGCCCAATTTAGCGACCCTTTCACACCTCTAGCTTCGACCTCTAATTAGCTATGCTCCATCGATTGTGCCGGCTCGATCCTCTATGCCTCCGAGCTTTAATTTCACCAATGCACGCTCTATGTTGCAGCAACCGTGTTGCCCGTGTGCTCCACCTTCAATAATCGTGTGTTGCAATAGCCATGCCATACATAGGTGCTCTACCTCCTGCAACCATGCCATATACGCTCGTCCCTTAGCTATCGTCATTGCCTCGATCTAATATTCGCTTGATTTAGTAGCCGTCCGATCCGGATCCGAAAATGGGCAATCGTCCCTCTTTCTCAATTGATTAAATAATCGATCTTCATTAAAGTTGAAAATGTCGAATTGATCTCAATTCAATAGTTAAATTCATTTGACCTTTTCATAGTAATTTATTTATTTATTAAACATTTTAATTTATATGAATTAAATTTAATTCATGTCCATATGTCTATAAATTAATCAAATTACTGCTTTGTGTGTAAATTGATTAAACTAATATTGTGGGTATCGTTTGATTATACTACGTCCATAGGTATGGTTTGATTGAATTACCGATGTGTGTATAGTTTGATTAAGCTATTGTTGTGCGTTTTAGTTGATTAAATTATCATTGTGTTTGTATGGTTTGATTAACATTTATGTACAACTTTAAATGATTAATACTATGGTTATATGGTGTGTTATTACTTGTGTAATTTTTTAGTCGCATTGGTCCGAATCTCATTTTTGTATTGTTTTTGTCAATCGTGATGATTAATTGAGATGTGCCAATTTGTCCTAAAAAAATGTGATTCTTGCATTGCATCGATCCTAATCTCATTTTTGGACCATTTTTTCCCATTGCAACAATTAATTGATATTACGTCAATTTGCCTAAAACAATCTAATTTTTGTGATTCGAACTTCGTTTTTGAGCCATTTTTTCCAACTCGTCTAAAAAAGGTGATTCTTGAGCCACATCGATCCAAACCTCATTTTTTGATCATTTTTTACGAATTGGGATGATTAGTTTGATGCTGTGTCTGACTTTTTCCTAAAAAATATGATGTATGAATCATGTCGATATGAACCTCTACTCGGATCACTTTTGTCAATTGTGCCTAAAATTTTGTTTTGGAAAATAATGATTTTTAAGCTATTTTAGTTCACACTCGTAGTTAAAACGTTCATGCCAACATCATCTACTCGTGTCAATTTTACTTACTAAATTTATTTGCCTAAAAATCACAAGTTTTGAAGTTGTGTGGGCTCGAATCTTTTTTTTTGGATTATTTTTGTCAATTTCAATGATTTTTGTTAATTTAGACATTTTTTTTAGTTTTGACAATTTTTTTTCATTTTTATCATTTTTATAGCCTTTGCTAATTTTGCCAATATTTATTTTTTTATCTTGTTTTTATCGATTTTACCTTTTTATTTCTTTTGTCTATTTTGTTTATTTACCTACTTATTGATTTTTCCTATTTTGCATATTTATCTATTTGCCTATTTATCGATTTGTTAATTTTATCGATTTTGCCTAATTGCCTATTTATCGATTTGCCTATCTTGCCAAATTATCTATTTATCAATTTGTCAATTTATCGATTTTACCTAATTGTCTATTTATCAATTTTGTCAATTTGTCAATTTTACGTAATTGCCTATTTGTCGATTTTGATGATTTATCGATTTTGTCTATTTTTACCTATTTTCCTATTTATTGATTTCATCTATTTTTTCTATTTGTCAATTTTTCTTATTTTTCCTTTATTTGCCTATTAGTTTATTTTCCTATTTTGCCTTTATCTCGTCTATTTATCTATTTTTCTATTTTTTCGATTTACCTATTTTGTCCGTTGACCTATTTGTCTTTTTTTAAGCCTCGTTTTTACACATGCCATTTAGGTCACACTAGTCATATATTTTTATGCACTCATTATGTTCTTTCCATTTCATTTTTGTGCCTTATGATTTTAGAGTGATGATAAGGTATTTGACCGATCAAATCCCAAATCACACGTCTAATAGGTGAATGTTTGAAAATAGGTATAAACTTTCATCATTAAAAAAAATCGAAATCTAATCAATGTGTGTCTACTTGCAGCTTCCCAAGGTAGGATAGAGTAGGATGATTTTTAATCTTCCCTACACATAATAAACTCTTTGAACTTTGAACAAACCAGTTATAAGGTTTTCTAGTGACCATACTACTAGGTTGTGACTATAATTATTTTTATCCATTCTTCCTATTTTTAGCCCTCGCCCCGACGTCGCCCTACGCCAACCGCCATCGCTTGACTAGCCCTCTAAGCTTAGAAGACAAAGCAAATTGTTAGAAGACCATATGCAAGAAAGAAATGAGGCTTGAATTTGGTTACTCTATAAATAGATAATGTACGTAGGTGCCACTTAAAATTCAAAAAATTCCTTAGCCTTTCAAAAAGTACTTTAATAAGATAAATTTTTACGTAGAGGGTTACATGCTTTTGTATTCACTTTTAGGATGGGAATTTTAGATCATTCTTAAGAAGTAAAATTCTGATAACGAACAACATTAATCATTTTTAAGAAGTAAAATTCGATAACAAGCAACATTAATGATTTTTTTTCTTTTTAATACTTGTTTATTGGATATTCTTTATATATAGACCCTCTATTTTCTATTTTTTGGTTATTGAGCCTTTTTATTTTTTTATTTTTTTATCATAATTAAGATCTTCTATTTTTAAATTTTTTTCTTGATACCTTTTGTTACCACGCGAGTCTATTTTTAATACAACATGACACATTACCATTCGATTTCACATATTAATGATTGACGCGTAACATTGCGGGTCTTATAATGTAGTAAATCCATTTGAATTAAAAAAATAAAAAACTAATTTAAAAAATAAAATAATACAAAAAAAAGTAGATGGAAAGATCGCCCTTTATTATTCCCAAACCTAATTCAAAAACTCGTTCTCTCCATCTTCCTTTTCTCTTTATTTCTAACACATTAGGTGATGAGTCATTATGGTCTCATTTAGGGTCTACTTACTATGATAACCCAAAAAACTTCAATTTGAATTAATGCTTGCTTTTTATTGATGAAAAAGAGAAGAAACTTAAACCAAATCCATTCAATACACATTAGATATTTTGAGACAATCGAGATATAAAAAAGAAAGATGAAACATGGTTTGTTCAATATAAGTTAGATATATATACATAGGAAAAGTTCTTATCTTCAATTCAAAATCTATATATTTATTGTAAGGCCATTTACGCCTTTGTGTGGCCTTTTTCAATTTTTCTAAAGTGCTCATTCCTCTCTCAAATTGTGGTGATTCCCTTATGAGTGAGAAACTTTAGAAAGAGGTACCATATGCAGATTACAATGCCTATCTCATAAAATATTGGTCTCTTAAAAATAGTATCATACACTAAGTACATCTTCACAAGTCATAAAAGTCTATGAAATGATGATTTCTTACGGGGTGAACTTAACATGATAGGGATTTGCATGATTTCTTTTATAGGCACATATCCCCTTTCTATACCTATTAGATGCACGCATCGGTTGGATTAGGGATGGTTCTAAACACATCAATTTAAAGGCTTCTCAATACGGGATGTTTATTGCACTCATATTATCTATCATAACGTAGTGTACTTCATAATGAGAGACGATGGTGGAAATAAAGAGGGTAATATTATTAAAGTGGATTACAATATTTGAGTATTTAGACAAGTAAATGAAGGGTTTATCCTATGGAATTACAGATTGAGCTGTGGTAATTAAGGATTGTATTTTCCTTAACTCTTTTCACCTTATAGAATATGTATCGGCTTGGCTTCTCTTGTAACTTGATAGCAATCTCGAGGAGGTTGTTCTAATGGCACTCGAGTTTTGTACTTAGGATGGTTGAAAGTAAAATTTTCTTTTAAGAATCTCTTGAGACATCCCTCTACAATCAACCTTTCTTGTTTTTTTCTTTAAAAAGTAAGAGTCTTCGATATTATATCTATGATTTAGTGGTAATGAAAATATTTCTTTTATTTTCGAATGTGAGAGAGGCCTTTCATTAAAGGTGGATGATTCACATATCTCTTTTATTAGACTACTATAAATACTTTTGTTTAAGTTATATTCAAAGCGATGGTTTGGAGTTCAAGAAAAACAAAATGATTGCGAACAAGGCCTTTTGGGCTTTTCTTTAGGTTAGAATAGGTCGATGGAGATTTCTTCCTTATTGATTTGTTGGTAAGCCTTTTAAATTGAAGATGTGTTTTCATAGTTGTTGTTGTATCTTTTACCCTAATATGGCTTTCTACCAACTTTTTTATCTAGTATTGATTTTGATCGGGTATAGCATATATCTTTTTCTATAAATTAATGTCACTCACTCTCTCAATAAGAGCTTTTGTTGCTATTGATTTCAATAGGCCATCCACCTTTAGCATTTTTCTATGAAAATGATAAAAGTACATTCGAGTTTTTTCTCTTTCTTATTATGTAATGGAGAAAAAGTTAACTAAGTTTTCAACAAGAATGTTGATTGAGAAATTAGCGACCTATTTGGATCTCAATTTTTTAAAGCTCAAGATGGATTTGAGATCTAGATTGTTATACTACTTCTTAATGAAAAACACTTCGCTGATGGCATCAATTACTCATGATACTAGCTTGAGGCCTTCCTTCACATTTCACACATGTTCCTTGGGTTAGTGAAGCCATCATAAGTTTTTAAATTCCTTTTTTAGAGATGAATTTCCTAGAGAGTTTAGTATTCAAATGTAAGGAGCGAGAGGTGACACTTGCAATCATAAACTCATTCTCTCTATCTTCTTCTTCTTTTTGTTTCTAACACGTTAGATGATGAGTCATTATGGTCTCATTCGGGGTCTACTTATTATGATAGCCCAAACAACTTCAATGTGAATTATTACTTGGCTTTTATTGATGACAAAGAGATGAAAGCTAAATCTACTCCATTCAATACAAATTAGATATACTTGGGATAATCGAGATATAAAAAGAGAAAGTTGAAACCTACTCTATTCAATACAAGTTAGATATATAAATATAGTAAAAGTTATTATCATTAGTTAAGAGTCTGTCTATTTCTTATAAGGCCAATTTACACCTTTATGTGGCCTCCTTTGATTTTTCTAGTGTGGTTCTTCCTCTCATAAATTGACTACCCCAAATTACAATAATTCCCTTATGAGTGAGAAAATTTATAAAGAGGTACCAT